GGCGCGGACCGGCCGTCGCGCTGGCCCGACGCGGAGCGGCCGGCGCCGAAGAAGCGCGTCCGCGTCGTCGCCGCGCACCCGGCGCCGCCGCCGAAGAAGTTCTTCCCGCTCTTCGCGCCGAAGAAGTAGGCCTGGGAGATTATCGTACACGCGAGGGGGTCCGGGGGCGCCCTTGTGGCGGCCGCGGACGCCGGGAATCCCGGCGGCGGGCGAGGCGAGGGCCGGCGGGGCGTCGCGATTTCGTCGCGGGGCGCGCGGCCTACATCTCCGCGTAGGACTTCTGCTCGGGCGCGTCGACGCCGATGCCGATGATCCGGTCCTGGTACTTGATGGCGAAGCCCGAGCCCGGGCACCAGTCGTTGATGAAGCGCGTCGACTTGACGCCCTCGATGGAGAGGATCGTCTCCTGGAGCTTGTCGAAGTCGCCGAAGTTCGTCGTGTCGATGGAGCCGTCGTCCTTGCGGACGATCTCCAGGTCGATGACGTTGTAGGCGATGTCGCCGCGGGACATGTTCACCTGCTGGAGGATGTTGAGGCCGCCCTCGCCGAAGACGGACATGAGCTCGCCGAGCATGCCCGGCTTGTTCTCCGTGACGACGCAGACGCGGTTCACGGACTCCATGCGCGGCGGCAAGGCGCACGCGGGGAAGTTGACGGAGTCGCGGATCGTGCCCGTCTCGAGGAAGAGCTGGATCGTGTCCGCGGCCATGGACGCCGCGTTCTCCTCGGCCTCCTCCGTCGACGCGCCGAGGTGCGGGATCGACACGACGTTCGGCCGCGGCCAGAGCTCGGGCCCGACGGCGAAGTCGCAGATGTAGCGGCCGCCGCCGCCGGCGTCGTAGCGCGCCGCCAGCGCCGCCTCGTCGACGAGCTCGCCGCGCGCGAAGTTGAGGATCGACGCGTCGGGCTTCAGCTTGCCGATCAACTCGGCCGACAGCAGGTGGTGCGTGACGTCCTTGATGTAGGGCGCGTGGAGCGACACGTAGTCCGCCTTGGAGCAGAGCTCCTCCAAATCCGCCATGGCCATGTCGCTGCCCGGGAGGCGCAGCGCGCCCTCGACGGACAAAGCCGGGTCGTAGCCGACGACGTCCATGCCGAGCGCGATCGCCGAGTGCGCGACGGCCGCGCCGATGGCGCCGAGGCCGACGACGCCCAGGGTCTTGCCCTCGAGCTCGCGGCCCCCAAACAGGGCCTTGTCCTTCTCGATGCGCTCGTGGGCCGTGCCCTCCTCGTGGAGCTGCTTCATGTGCGCCGCGCCCTCGTAGACGCCGCGCGACGCCATGAAGAGGCCGCAGAGCACGAGCTCCTTGACGGCGTTGGCGTTCGCGCCGGGCGTGTTGAAGACGGGCACGCCCAGCTCCGTCATCCGCGGCACGTTGCAGTTGTTCGTGCCCGCGCCGCACCTAGAGGTTCGAACGGTTTCGTCCGGGCGCGGCGCGCGCGCGCTTCGGATTCTTTTGGGGGAGGTGCGCGCGTCTTCGGGGAGGGGCGGGCGTCGACGTACCGGGCGATGGCGCGGGTCGTGAGGGGCACGTCCGAGTCCTGCATCTTGTGGCTCCGGAGCATGATTGCGTGCGCGATCTCGGGGTTCTCCTCGGACGGCGTGATCGTGTACTTGTCGCCGCCGAAGCGCGCGAGGCCCGCGGGCGAGATCTTGTTGATCGTCTTGATGACGAAGCGCGTCTTGCTCACGGCCGCCATCTTTTTTTGTGTTTGCAACCGGCGAAGACCTGTGGACGGTGACGTTTTCGGCGATGGGCGCGGTGCGAGCGCGCGCGTTTGCGCGTCGCCGCGCGCGCGTGACGGCGTCGCGCGCGATGGGCAGAGTCGGCGCGAGATGGGACGCCGGCGCACGGACGAGCTCAGTAGGGGTAAACGCTCGCTGCCGTCTGCTGGATGACAGGCAGTGATCAGTCTTCGTCGTCAGCGCCGCGGCAAAGGCAAATGCAGCGTTGACCAAGTGCACCTCGCGCGGCGCGCGCCGCGCGTAAGCCGCGCGCGACGCACGGCAGCCGTGACTGTGTTCGATGCGGCTCGGTCTATCTGGTCCACCCGGTACGTCGCCGCGCGGCTGCGTGAGTCCGCACTATAAATCGAATCGACCCCGGGCCGCGCGCGCCGCGCCGCGCCGCTCAGGAGCGGCGCGGCGAACGCGTCCGCGGACATCACGAAGTGGACGACGCGGACGCCGCGGATGCCGCTGCCGTTCTTGAAGTAGAGCTTCTGGTACTCGCGCTGCTGGTCCTTCGCCGGCTTGTGGGCGATCGCGGTAACCGTAACAAAATACAGCAAAA